ACCTAAACCCTGCACCCTTTTTGCATGCGAAAAGAAAGAAGTCTGTGCGATCTTAGACCCTCCGCCCCCGACTCCAAAGCGAGCTTCGCAAGTTGCTTGGTAGTCTCCATAAATAGCGAGATCCCAGTGTATACACCAAAATACTACAATTCTTAAAAGGGGACCTAGTTTTGAAAATCCCCAGCTTGCTCATGTGTTCTTGTCCCGCTGTTTTTCATTTCTCTCTCTCACACACACTCGCACTCTCACTGGAACTCTCACAAGATGTACGACAGTGTACGAGCTGTTGAGTCATAGAAGTCCCTTACTCAGTTAAGAACTCTATTGAAACCACATGATTAATGCTAAGAGCACGTGGTCAGATCGTTGCCAGCGCCGAAAAGGGAGAGCCGCAGGCACCGGTAGTGTCAGAGATTCTGGATGTTCTTGCGAAAGCCCCCGGATCGACTTCGCACTTTGCTTTGCAATGCGCGAAGGGCATGTTAGATGAAGGCCCTCAAATATGATTGGACGTCTACATATGCCTACATGGGGGCCTTAAGGATTTCATGATCTTGCCAGCAAAGTTTGAAGTGCGATTCATACCTTTTGGCCGGTTGGATGTGGTTGGCAGGGTAATTTCTGCATGGTGTGTTGTTTCTTTGCTTGCGCTGCCAGATGCACAACAGTGAGACAAAGGTGGCATGGGTTCGCAATGAGGGCTTTGGTCAATTCGAGGCTCCACTGACTACACAAGGAGAGTGCATGTTCCAGTCCAGTGCAGGTGTACAAAGTCTTTGCGCCTCAGCCGCTTCCCGAAGAAGAGCTGGATAAATGGCCGCTCAGATGCAGAGCTACTAAAGCTATCATCCATGGCTCCCCATGGCTTGGGTTGGCGTGCGCAGAGGAAGAGCGGAACCCTGCCACAGGATATGCAAATAAGTTGATAGCGATTTCGCGGGCTAGCTTTGATTGTCGCGTTCCTGTCGCTGGGCAACCATTTTTGACTTCCGGTCTCCAGCTTAAAGCACTAACAAGGGTCGACAAAGCCATGATTACAAACGGTCTCCAAGAAACAGATGTGCATTCTTGCCAAATCTTGGCATCAAAGATGAAGGTTTAATCGCTGCCGCTCCTCCCCGTTGCACGTGGTGGACTGGCAGGGCTCTGAGTCGTGTAGGTTCTGCAACTTCCTCACAGTTGTGATCCTGTTCTTTGATATAGCTTAGCTCCATCAAGGATTCTTAGCTTGTGGGATGGTGTCACTTTCTGGGCCTTTTTATCCTGTACCCTGCCCTGTTCATAGGCATGCCTCAGGTAGGAAGAGTCCAGATTCCAGCCTACTGCTTGATCCCATATGCTCTACTTCAGGGGTCCAGGCAAATGGTCAAAGGCTTGCATGCTCACTGTCCTGCAAGCTGTGCACTTGAAGAACTGACATGACATGAAACCTCTGCATTTGCATTTAGATCAACCGAGATGAGCCTGACAGTGTATGGGGCCCGCTCTACAAGACTACAATGGAACAACAGCAAACGCTGGGCCACTTTCTGAAGCGCGACAAAGGTAATTATTGGCCAGCTTGCGACGGCCAAGCTCACGTCCTCGATTCTGTAGGGCACTTGTAGGCTTGTAGGAAGATGTCAAGTGAGGTATGCCTATCCGCAGTACACCATTCCGCAGAGCTTCCGGCCTTTCGTGCTTGACCAGGATGGTGCGTTGCCCCCAGCGAAAACGGCCTTTTTCTTGTTTTTCTAATGTATGCAGGCTAACGCGGTATAGTAATTGGCTGCTGATAGTCAAAATTGCTAGGTTGCCTCTTTGAGGCAATAGAGTAGACTTGAGTCGAAGATGCCTCGTGAGAGGCACGTGCACATCACTCGCATGCAGAGATTTTCATGAGAAAATCTGCTGCCTGATCCATCGCGAAGACGAGTGCATAGGGATGAAAGTGTGGTGAAGCCAGAACCACTGAATCCTTCGATCTCGAAATACTCAAAGTTGAAGACTAGCCATGCTGGAGTCATAGTATTAAGAAAAGTAGCTCCCCCGATAAACACCGCACAATGATCAGAACCGAGGTCTTTTACATCAATGCCATCGAGCAGGCACAACCCTGCTAGAAGGTTGCCCAACCTGCTTCCCTATCTGAGCTATAGTCTAAACTCCTCAAAGTGGGGTTATATAGGGGATTATACAATGTGACAAGGGACTACTGTAGAGGCCATTAAGGGGGATACTAGGAGTTTAGACTTTAGCTCACTTGTCTTGCTGATGGCCAGCAGCAAAGGAGGACTGGATCCCTATTGCAGTTCCATGTCGTCCCACACAATACTCCCCACTTGGGGGGTCAGGGGGAATTAGTAAGTGGATTGATAATGAAAATGACTAGGATTATTATAGGGGTTCTTAACCTACTTGCTTAGTCCCCCTGACTCTCCAAGTATGGCTACCTAACGTCCTTAAGAAACACCAGTAAGGTCAGCAAGCTGTAGCCACAGGGGTCCAAAGAACGGTCCGTTGGGTTTTGCATGGTAAGGGCTTTGCTGTCCTGAGAACTACACAGGCCCCTTAACTTCAAGAACCTACTAGTTCTTAGAAGGGAACAAGGGAATATTTTCCCAGCCCCCCAGCAAGAGAAGCTCCCGTGTCGGATGAAGCTAGCAAGACTCACGGAGATCACTTCTGCCACAGCCTGTGGGAGCAGGTGGCATCCGCCATGGAGATGCATTTGTCCCAGTTTTGAAGAGGGCAGGCGTTCACGTAAGTGTTGTGCTTTGAGCAATGGCCGATGGCATCCTTTTGGAGCACATCCTTTTGGAGCACTTGCCTTAGGGTTTCCATATGCGTGCGGTCACAGCTGCTCGGTATGAGGAATCTGCAACCATCTGAGCTGAGCGCTTCCAATCCGATATTGTTTGGAACTTGAGCTGCCTGTACCTTAAGGTCGCTCATTGGCGCGCGGAATGTGACAAACCTTGTCGCTGACTGGGCGCACAGCTTATCAGAATCATGCCCTAAGACCATGGTGCAGTTGCATAGCCTTGCAGACACGGCAGGGCTTGCATGGGACCATGGAGACCAGCCACGGGAATCTGTGTCCGTCTGTAGACTTTAACCAGTTTTGCCCACAACTGAGAGACTGCTTCGTGGTGCCCACTCTCTTCGCCAGCCACTAGAAGGTTCAGGCTCACAGATGTGTCAGTCCATTGAACAGTTGCCGACTGCTGCGGCTGTGCCCAACCGCGACAAGCGGCCATGTAGAGGCCGCAATAACTACGAATATTATGGTCCTAGATTCCTTGTATAACTGTAGTACAGGGTACCTCAAAATTACGCTTTTAATGATAGAGGGCCCTAGCTTCCTACAAAGCCAGCAAACTAGAAGTCCGCTGTGTGAGTCGAGATCGGTGTCCAGTGTTGAGGTCGCTCAGCGAAGAGGACCTCGAGGATTCTGAACTGGTGTAGTTTGCCTGCGTGGGTCTTTTGTATGTATGCAGCACTGAGACAACAGCATCAAGTTGCGGCCTGCAATGATGCACCGCTAGCATTACCATGCCTGCTAACAACCCTCAACAGACTGCCATAGCAGTAAGCCAGCTTCAGCATGAGAGTTTCTTCTAATTCACTAGTGGTCGCAGTCTGGAAAATCCTCCAGATTATTTCGACCCATTGGGCTGTAGCTCTGCCTTGAGGTTTCACCTTTGCTCAGCACCGTCAGCAGCGGGGTAACAGCATGGGGCTTTCCACTGACAGGCCAAAGCCGCTTGCAACTTCAGCAAAGGAGTACAGATGCAGTCTGGCAAAAAAAGATTCTACTTCTGAGGCTGCACTTCACAAGGACGCTGGGAGGATGGCTATCTGGAATGATGGTAAGGTGGAAGTTGTGGAAAGCTCCTACAGACTACCTTGGCTGGGCAAATGTAGTCGTGAATGAACGTGCATGCGCGCACGCTCCTGGATGAAATCATCCACAAGGATCTGGATTAGAGACGAGTGGATCTGCCTGTCTTGCTGTCCATTGCCTCTTTTCCTGCGCAATTGTTTGCTTTCGTGGATGCTTGCGCTCGGCGGCACGAAGAGGGAAAACCACCGTCAAGACATTGCTGCTTGTGCAGCTGCCCACACTGACCAAAGTTGACGATGCCAGCTTAGGGAAAATGCCATGATGTCCAGTGCATGTGGCTGCTGTGGCTGACACACCTTAAAGCCCTAGCCAAGATAGAAGCATGCAAGGTGAGCAGACCTTTTCCACCTAACTCCAGCATGGGTCTTGCCCAATTGCCGCATACTATGTACTTGCATCACCCTTTTGCTTCGACGTTTTAGCCGCACTTGACAGCTTGTTGCAAACATCTACTTACAGTTCGCGTGCTTTGTTGCAGCTGCCAGCCAAGCGGTGCAATGCCGAACTTGGAGGAGGCAGGAGACTGACAGAATGTGACGCCTGCAGACCTTGGCATGCATGAATGAGCTTGAAAGTTGGGTTGCAGTGAGAACCCGTGTTTACACATGCAACATGATAATTATCACAAGCATGGACTACAGATATCCTCAAGTCAATGCCTCTTGCGCCTTCAAGTTCATAGTTCATGGACATAGTTTTAGAAAGGATACATCTCAATCTTTGCAACAAGTTGGCTTGATTTGGCATTCATCACGAACGTGCCTGCAACTTGTCCCGCTGAGGCGCCTTCCGAGAGACGTAGTGGCCCCAGTTCCATGCAGCTGCTTCTTCCCAATGTAGCATACGAACGAATTCATCGCCAGTGCTGCAGAGCCAGGCCACCATGTCCAGTTTCCAGCGCTTAGGCAATTGCTTCTATTTAGATTAAAGGATTGACTACCGCGAATCAGCATTGTGCGCTTCAATACTGGCATCGTCACACTGCCGTTCAATATTCTTCATCAACGCAAGCAAAACGTGGGAGCCACGGGATGCTCAAGCATTCCGTAACATTTAGCCAGAAATCTCTCTATTTACAGTTTCACCACCACCCTGAAATCCAAGGGCCTTTGAGATGCCTTCCGAGGAGGAGATCTCCAGAACCCTGACGAAGATCCTGCGTTATGATGCAGCAAAGCATGGACTCAAACAAGACAGTGCTGGCTGGGTCGACATGGATGAACTCCTGGAGAAGTGCAACATTCGTGGAAACAAAGAGGAGATCCTGATTGTGGTCGGAATCAGTGAAGGGAAACAGGGCAGACGCTTTGAGGTTGACGTGCCGGATGGAGGCCCTGTTCGAGTACGCGCCACCTACACGCACGGGAAGACCATTCCTGCAAAGGACAGGGAGAAGTCGGAGGCCCGCAGTAACTCTGTGCCCAGGGGTGCCCAAAATCGTGATTGGCGTGGCACCGAAGATCCCAGCGAGGATCTCGCCTACGCCACGCCTGTGGTCAGTGACAAGGGCACCGATGATGGGACCGGAACGTTGGAGGCAACACAGGACGGGGAGTCTCAAACCGGGGGTGTCAAGTTGTCGTAGGTCCATGACAGACAGGTGCGTTGCTTTTTTGGCATAGCTATTCAATCATCCTGCATGTCTGCATGTCTCTGCCTAGAGCAAACCCGCCGTGATCATGTTTTAGCTTTTCCTACCGCTGACCTTCAGGAGACATGGCAGAAGTTCAGGGATCCTGACTCTGGACATCTTTGGTTCTACAACTCGGAGACTGAAGATTTCTTCTTCGAGGTCACCGCGCATGAGCATGGTTGGACAATGTATAATTCGGCACAGGGCCCATGGTGGTTCCACGCCTCTGAGGGCCGCTTCTTCTTTGATCCTTTGATGGCTTGACAAAAGCTAGCACCGTCGGGGAATTGGCTGAGCAAAGCCTCCATATGACCTCATATAGCTTTCGCGGGCACTAGGCCTTTGGAGAGACAGAAGAGAATCGCGACATAAAGTTTTGCAATGCCGGCTGTTTGCTCCCTGAACTTGCATTCCGCGGCGCTGAGAGAGGGACAGGGTCACCAGTTGGAGTTTGTCCGGCATGAACTAGATCTTCTTGACAATCCTGAACTTTACTTTTTAACTGCCCCATGGCTACATTGAATTTGGCTGATCCTCGCTTTGTGTGCTGCTCCTCTCTTGGAGCCTAGCTGCACTAATGCTTTGGCAGAGCATCTTGGCGACTTGCTGAGGCCGGCAGTTTGAGAAGGACGGCTACCTCCTCCTCAAAGGCTTCGTGTCGAAGGATGAGTCCGAAACTCAGCAAGCCATGCGAGGAGAGGCATTAGCCGCCACTTCGGCAATTTCGGTTCTGGTTTTTTGGTCCAAGTTCGACTCGTTGCTTGCATGTGGTGTACAGAAGTGTGGAACCGTTTCCGGGCCAAGCCAAAACATCTATTCCAACAGTTTTTCGCAGTAGCGATGGATTTATGGCCCACACAGCTGCAAAATCCCTGGTTGATCAGCCAATGCTGGGCTTAATTAACGGATCTACTCACAGCAGGTGACATTCCTCTAAACGTTATTAGGAGGCTACGGCCATCGGCACAAAGCGTCACCAAGGCTCGCTTTCTCAGCATCTCTTGCCTCTGAACTTAGGTGCCAAAAGATGAAAGCCAGAATGGAGGCTGGAGCACTTCAGCACTGCTAAGTGCTGGAGAGTTCTTGTGCTGATGTCTAAGCTGTACATGTCGCAATTATTTGCAGCGAAGTGCCGCCCGACAGACAGCAGTGAACAGACTGCTACTCCGTCATGTGACGGCTTCCCCTGCCCTTGTTTTTTTGATGGCGGGTTTCCACCTACGTAACTGCACATCAGCCGGCAAGGAACTGGTCGATGCCTGGGACCCACAAGCCGAGCTCGGCCCTAAGGGGAACTGAGATATCCAGGATCCACTTGAGAGTTCTGATTATTGCGCTGCTGTACGGGCGTGAGTCAAGCTTCTTGATTCTTTGGGCTGGCGCTGCAGGAGTAAAGCTTGTCTCAACAGAGCGCAGTGTTCCTGAAAACTTCAAACAAGGCTGTAACACTGTAGCACTGCAGCGAAGGGTTATTCACGGTAAAGTTCCAGACATGTCCGTATCACAGCATTCTCTTGTGTCACCCATTGATAAAGCAGCAGCTTGAGAAATGTGGCCAAAGCTGCACAGGAAGCCTGGCAAGTTCTCCACTGATGTGAAGTACCAGATGCAGATGCAGGCCAGCCTTCATTTCCCCTCCCGGCTTTCACTACGCAGAACCTCTGCAAGATGGGACTGACGGGAACGGAACGGAAGTTTAAATGCAAGCGAAAAGGTGTTATGGTATGGAGGGTGCTGTCGTGTCGAAGTGTACACAAACAAGTGACTCGCAGCCTGGAACCCTCCCCCACCGAAGCTGTAAAACCTTGCTGTGCAGGGAGCTTCGGACTACTTCTTGGACAGCGCGGACCGCATCCATTTTTTCATTGAAAAGGATGCCGGTGACGAGGACAGTTTTCTGCTAACGTGCCAAGATGTGAACGTGTGCGCCCACGTGTTTTCTAGGCTCGTAGCCATTTGTTTCGCATCCTTTCGCCGTATGCTGCCCGCGGCGCAAGGATGGAAAGATCAAGAACTCCCTTTCGAAAGCCAGATCCTTGAACAAGGCTGGCCGAGCTTCCACCAGAGCTAGTCACGGTGTGTTTGAATCTGGTGGGGCTCACGCAATCTGTTCCACGAGGCCGCAGTTCTACGCGGTAGGTTCCATGCATAGGGGGACAATGCATTTTAACCCTTATTAATATAGCCAAGCGGCACGAATTCGGCCGTGAGACTTTCATCAGTGTTGATTCATCCATGAACTTGCATGCCCAAACCATAACAACGTTTGCGTTCTTAGAGCCGTAGCGTTATTATTACTTATGGGGGCAATAAATTTCTCTAGTTGCTGGGCACCAAAAGGTAGTATTTGCAAATATAGTAGCAATCCAAGGCCTACAAGTAGATAGTCATGGTACTGCGCGACGTGCGAATGCGACTCAATTCCTTCATCAGGTTGGTCACGGCCTTCATGTTGCAGCTGGAACCCAAGGGAAAGTTGCTCAGCAAATTTGTTCCGCCCTCTCTACTCTTTGTCGATGTAGCAGAGGGCCGGAGCATACCTTTGGCATGTCTCCCATGGCATGTCTCCTCGGCTTGTGTGCATGGTCCAGATGCCGTGCCCACTCTGACTGCTCAGCCCATGACCGGGCACGTGGGCAACTGAGGATCCAGTCTTTCGAGAGTACAGCCAGTCCAGCAAGGCGGCTGCAGCACGGGATTCCCATGACGTCTCCAAGTCAATGGTGTTGAACATTCTACAGCTTGGCATAGGCTGGGCGTAAACATCAATAGCTTCCCAGATCATGTAATGTATGTGCTGCTGAGTTTAGTAAGCTGTCGGCTTAGCATGGTGCATGTCATCTGCATATCGTATTTTCCATAAAAAGGGGGGGCCCAACACAGACCCCAAAATACTACAGTCCTCATTATGGGAACCCAATGGTAACCCTAATTTTGGGAAACCCGCCCCCATGGCATGCGCTTCAACACCCAAGCCTTACAACCTAGGCATGACAGACTTCAGATCTTGAGCCTTCAATGCTCGAATTGCGAGGTGGCGGATCTCGTAGAGGAGCTTGGCTACCGCGACCCGGTGCCCTGGGACACGGGGAGATGGCTTTGCACCATTTGTGCTTGCATTGCATTCATTCCTTTGCGGGTTCAAGTCCAAGCCTTTGGATGAAGTTTCAGCAGCCGCTGCTAGAGATTTCGGAGGTCCTGCCACAGTCGATGTACATCTTCAAGCAGCCCGTGACTGGAAGTGAGGTCACCTCCCACCAGGAGAGGGTTGCACGTCACACCACAATGCAGATGCTACTTGATGCCTATTGCTGTCAGATCTGCGCAGCTGGCAGTACTCATGGAAGGATGCAACTGTGCACTATTGAGAGGACGGGGGGGATGTTGTACGGGATGTATGCAGGACTCCTCCTTCCTCCACACGACGCCAAGACCAACATGCATGGGCCAGATCCTTACAGGTCCAGTTCACTGTTGCTACATCATGCCAGGATCATCTCTTTTTGTTCCTGTTGTTTTGGGCCGGAAAGTGACTCGTCCAACCAAGCAGCAACGCTTTGAAGCTAAGGTCTTTGGCTGGCGTTGGACGATGCAACGTTGGAGAACGGATGTTTGTGGGCCAGGTTTCATTGCTCCAAACATGAGCTGCATTTGCCTTCGCATTTGGTGGTGCTGCAGTTTGTGCAAGTGCTCTTTTGCGGCCAGAGATAAAGCTGCAGTCAGCAACCGTTGCCTGTATTGCATTATCAGCCGGAAAAAAAGAGATCCCTATATAATCTCTAAGAGGGACCCATAATCGCCCCCTTTTTATCCCCAGTCCCTAACCCTAAATCGTATGTTCCTGTCCTGAGCACCAGCACAGGCCTGGATCCCATCTCGAAGCCGTGCGCAGAGTCTTTGCGCATGCCCCAGCAGGATGGAAGCTTAGGATTGGGGCATTTATACAAAAAGGGGGGCATGTTCATTTCTATGACGACTTCTTAGTAGCAGTAGTAGTAGTAGTAGCAGTCCTGGTAGTAGCACTCCTCCTCCTCCTCCTACTACTACTACTACTAAGTGCTAGTGGTCGTGGTCGCCGCAGCAGCAGTTGTAGTTGTTGTGGTTGTTCTTCTTAATGTTCTTGCTGCTGCTGCTGCTGGGGCTGGTGGTGGCGGCGGCAGTGGCGGTGGCGGAAATGGCGGTGTTGTTGTTGCTGCTGGCGGTGGCCGTGTGGTCCTTTGATGAAGCGTCCTTTCAATGAGACATGTAGGGTTTAGGGTCCTTTTAAGGGAGAAAAGAAGGGTATATGTAAGGGTTATGGCAGGGAAAAAGGTGGATCGTTACCAAAGGAGGCCAAGCATGCAATCCTTAACCTTGATTCCGCGATTTCCAAGAAGCTGAGCGGGCGTATAAGCTTGTGCCCGGTCATGACTTGGTAGTTCTCTAAATAAGTGGGACCCCAAGATGGACCCCCAAAATATTCCAATCCTTCTTGTGAAACACACAAAAGGGTACCCACAATTGTGGGAAACCCCCACTTACTTCAGTTTGCGCACTTTGAGAGTGCAAGTTTGGACTTGGAGGCTTTGGAGTTTTCAGTCGCTGTTGCATGTGTGACTTTTGAGTCATGCCTTTTGGGGAAGGTTTCAGGAGTGCTGCTATTTGTTATTTGCATTGCAGCATTCTCTACATAATCAGTAGTCCAACCACACTCGAGAATCCCCCTTCCCAATCATGAAACCCCAATTCATCAATTCCACTCGCCTACATTTCAAACAAGCAAGGAGATCCCAAACCTCAATCTTTCCAAGCCCTGGCCAATTTTCGCCCACCACAAAATATGTTGATTTTCTGCCCCAGGGCGAGGCGGAATTGGAAACTTTTGCCTAGCCATTCTGAGGTTCGAAACCCGGAGTATTTCGAGGGAGGCAATCGAAAAGCCACGCGTCGCGCTGAGCGCATTTGAGCCAACGTTCTAAGGTCTGGAGCCTGCAGGTTAGAAGGGTCAAGCGTTCCCAATGATTCGCCGGGCTGAAAAGAATGATGATAGCTTAGCGCCGTAGCACAGGACTTTTCAAAGTGCACGTATTCATTTCCAACTCAAAAAAGCCATGTGACATGCTCAGCATGGCCAGCCATGGCCACTGCTACCCACATTTGTGGTGAGGCAGCTGGTATTCGAAAACCTGGATGACAGCAAGGCATTTACAGGGTGTACTAGGTCACTAGGTCATCAACGTTTAAGTGGGAAAGGGTGGTTACAGGGACTTTGCGGATTGTTGTTGGGCACTACATCTTAGATCTTGGAAGGGGTCCATCGCGCCTTCCTAAAAAGCAAGGAAGTTGTTGCATGCTTGGGGCCCCTACAAACATTAATCATTAATCCCCTCCCCTCCAATTGTGATAATTTCTAATATAAAGGGAGTATTTGCTATCAGGGCGGTGGGGGGAGTTAATATTAGGGGGAGGGCCGGGGAGGGGATTAGGGAAAGTTGTGAAAGGGAAGGGATGAATCGCACAGCAAAGCCAATCATGGGCTTGCGGGGTGGCAGCCGTTGAAGCCGATGTCACCACTGGCCTGAGACGGCCTTTTTCTCTATTCGAAATGGGTGTTTCCAAAAATTAGGGGTTCTATTTTGGGGGTCCCCAAAAGAAGGATTATAGTATTTGGGGGGTTATGTTGGGGTCCCCCTATTGTGAGAAGCTACCAAATGCCCATGTGTTTAGAATCCGCAGTCTCCAGTACCCTTTCAAAGGAAGAGCAGGCGAGACGAGAATCATTCAAAACAGATCACAACTACAGTATGATTCAGCACGATGTGCAAGTTTGAACCCGCGGACCCAGACCCCCAAAACTTATAATGCTTATTCTGGGGACTCCCAAAAAGGTACCCCAAATACTATAATCCTTATCATGGGTACCCTTAATTTGGGGAAACCCATCAATCCCATGAAATCCCTATATAACCCTATTATATGTCCTTGCACAACCCCATAAACCCCTTTAAAGGTACCCCTAAGTTGGTACCCCATATGAGCTATAGTCTAAACTCCTTAAAGGGGGGTTATATGGGGGATTATATAGGGGACTACTATAGGGGTTATTAAGGGGGATACTAGGAGTTTAGACTATAGCTCATATGATCTTCAGCACGGGTCTCGTGGTTGCTGTGTTGGCAGGCGCCTGCCTGGGAATGGGAGGCGCCCTGCATCTTTCGCCTGCGTGTTAATACGATGATGTAGCCTACAACTCGAAAGGGACATTATGGGAGATTCTCCCAACAATGGAAAATCAAAAAGAAAAGAACATGGAACATGAAAATGAAGCTGGGATTATGTAATAGTCTATAAGGATTTTAAGCGTTTCCCAAAATTAGGGGTACTTCTTTGGGGGTCCCCATAATTAAGGGTTATATGGGGGGAGGGTTCATAATTGGGATCCCCTTATCTTGGGAAAGTACCATGTAGGCATCATGGCGCAGATTTGACCCTTTGCGCTCCTCCACGCTCAAACGCAACGCTGCCCTCCTTCATCTTGAACCTTTGGTTGATGTGCTCGCCAAATTGTAAATCCTTGTCTGCAAGCCTTAAGGCGCTCACTTCCCCTAGTCCATATGTTGTTTTTGCGATCACTGCTATGGCGGTTTGCTTTGCACATCTTCCTGAAGCCTTTCGGGAAGAGTTGCTCAGACCTGAAGGACTCAACTGGACACAGCTGTAGAAAATGCATCTCAAACAGATGACATATATCAGAAGCACGTCACGCAGAAGGATAGCAACGTGGCAACATGAAGCATTCGTGCATGTCACTTTTGAACTGACAAGACGACGGCAACGCATTTCTTGGAAGCTTGCTGCTACGCGCCTGAACGGCAGGGCAAGATGCCGGATGGCTTCGAAGCACCGAGCGTGGGACTCGGGTCGGTCTGTGCTTGATCACGAGAGATGATTAGATGGTTCTGAAATGTTCTGAAGCAGATGTGTCGGTTGAAGCAAGCCAGGCGCGTGGCATATGCAGACTTACACATGCGAGCCTACAAGAGTCAAATTCCGTACGCATATACGCATACAGTATGCGCGGGTTCTCACCCTGGGCTGTCAGGAAATGTGCATGCTTTCAGCATTGGAGGTTTTCCCCCTCGCAATCCGGAATCTTCAAGTACTACCAAAACGTCTTTAGCCATGTTCGAGCCGAGCGTATGCTTCTGCAATTCACTGCAGGCAGCGGCTTGCGGGAAAAAGGGTTCAAAGCCCTGGAATGTGAGGCCGGGATCCTATGGACACCATTCGGGTGGCATTTGGCTCCCCACCTCGTATGCAAGATAAACATCATGCTGCCTGAAACTGTCCGGTATCAGTTGGCTTGGTAGACAAGAAACACCAACGGAAGAAACGTTAAGCTTTGAAGTGAAGATTGCGTGGCCGATTGGAATGCAAGAGCATTCATGCACAAAATGGGTGGCCTTGAATCCTCCAGAGAGACAAACCCACGAGAACCCCTTAGATCCTTTGCAGTTGACTGTAGGCTGGTGACCTCGTGGTCATCCATGGCCAGGCTGGGACATGGCAAAGGACCTTTCAACACACGCCAGAAGATGTAGGGTTGCGTGCCGAATCCCTAAACCCTAAGCCCTCAACCCCCAGCCCTGAACCCCAAAACCCTAAACCCCAAACCCCTTAACGTAAACTATTACCTGCAAGTTAAGACTGCGTAGTGTCCATCAAAGCATCAAGATCTCAAAAGAAGGAGTTCCCCTAAATTAGGACTCACTTTCAAGGGGTTATAGGGCGTGTTTCGGGGTACATAGGGTTCCGTATGGGGATGTTTTAGGATTTAATGGGGGTTCCCCAAAACTAGGGGTACCTTTTTGGGGGTCGCCATAGTAGGGATTAGGGTCAAAATTGGGGTTGCCTATTTGGAAGCTGCCGCATGTTTTGGCCAGGTGGACCACTTATCCCTGGCTAACACCAGCGCGAAGCCACTGGCCCAGCTGGGTTTGACTCTCCTACTTGTACTGTAGCTAGAAAAGCAATCAGCTGCAGCGCGCGTGAGCCACGAGTCCCATGCCACATGGTGATAGACCTGTTGACCCCTTCAAAGCACCCAGCCAAATACAATGTTACCCAAACCCCACGTGCCAAGGCCGCGGGAGACCTTCCAGCTGCATTTGGTTGAGGGGCTTGGATCTTACGGTGGACCACTGCAGGTTGCGTCTCACTCAGCTCGTTTAGGATTGAGCGTCGCCAGAACTTGCCTTTGTTCATTAGCGGATGAAAGAACGTGTTCTCGTATGAGCGACCATCATGCTTAGGATCCTTTTGTCCATTCCATACCAGCGAATGCAGCAGTCCCAAGCCAGCGTTTTGCGGTGGTGGGCCAGACTGGGCCTCCAAACGACCTTCATGTGAGCCATGGTGCAGCATATCGGTTTTGACGCGATATGGGGCTCCACTCATCCTCCTGACAGTTAGTCGCTTGTATGCCGGTATTCCCTTTTTGTTAGCATTAATTCGGGAGTTTCTCCAAACATCCCTTATGAACTTATGTATACTGCAGATTCTTTTCTCCCTTTACAAACCTGCTTTTTCTAGGGTCCCCAGCGCTACACCTTTTGGGGATCCCGGTTTTTGCCCATTGTTGCCAAAGGCCTGGCGAAGGCATCACGTGGAGTCCACGGAACTGGCGGGGATGGGCAGCAAAAATAATGCAAGGGCTTTCTGTGGATCACGCACGGAGATTTTGAAAACAGGGCTGCTTTGTGGAACCATTCAGCATGTAGTAGTGATTTGAGCTATAGTCTTAACCCCTTGAACCCCCCCTTTAGTCACCCCTATAATGCTCCACTATTTAGTCCCCTACTCTGTATATCCTCGTTCAAGGAGTTCAGACTATGGCTCATTTGGTCTTTATGAAGGACAATCTAGGCATATTTTGAGCAATACCATGTCGGTGCTTGGCAGAAGCTAGCATGACAGAGTTGGTGGCAATTTTGCACATCATTGTGGCCAAGGACGATGGGGTCTTCCAAAGCCGATGAGTGCGTTAGAAAACGAGTTACAGAAAGGCCTTCACAAAATTCCTATGAACAAGATTGTTTCAAAATGCCTTGCTGCCTGTATCCGACCTCATAAATCCTCATAACTGTAGCTATTCATGGGCTGCGGAAGGCTTACCTTTGCTACAGCTTGGGGATGTTGGGTTCCCATCTACGTAGCTCTCATATTAGGAGGGGCCTCAAGATACGGACCACCCAAAACCACATGAAGTTCAAACTCCAAGCCCTAAACCCTACATAGTAGTTTCCAGTTTAGTTTCCATCATTTCAATACTACCCCAATATAACCCGAATATTACCCAATGGGTAACTATATCCCTTACGCGATATCCATTTCATGCCATTCTGAGTCCATTTGTCCGTGCAGGTTGCAGTATCCCACGGGAAAAACCTTCCCGTCGCTACGGCCCAGCGCCCGCAAGCGCAAGGCCGCCTTTGAGAGCTAGGCTTTCCGTGGGTAGCAAATGATCAAGTCTTTTGGGTTTTAGGGTTTAGGGTTTAGGGCCAAAACTGCCTGTAGGAATATAGAGTCCTGTTTGTAGTGTTCGGTGGAGAGGGTGTCAAGTTGTTTCACCGCAGCCGTTCGGCTTAAGCAGAAGGACTCAAAGAGCCTAAACGTCCGCTGCACTGCCCTAAACCATAGACCTCATTTGGGCTAGTACTGACTGCGCGTGCTCGGTAT